GTTTCGATCCGTCAAATTGCATATTCCTGTTATGTGCCATATCAAAAATTTTGGGAAGGCTTCTTGAGCAAAATAAGCAATAAATTTTTGCGCTTTTCCTAATAGCATGAAGTGAGGCGAATAGCCCAAAAGAAGCTTTTTTATTATGCATTTTCTGTCCTGGATTGTACGTGTGAAAATGGGCTTATTCTGTTATATAAGTCTAAAGGGAAACAAGCCAGAAATTCAGCGAGTCTAAAGGTCGTCTTAATAGATCCTGGTGTGCACTGATTCATTCACCAAATTGATGCACATAGCAGCTTATAGCAAAAAACGCATGGAAGTGCGGTCAGGATTGTGCTCGCTATTTGTGAACTGGTGGTGGCCAAGTCTAATCGTTTTGATACCTCGACATTTCTGAAACAAATGTCATTCTCACATTTCGGTGAGGAATATTTTCACTGAATTTTGCGGGTGTTAAAGAAACTCTTTAATTTATAAATACAGAAAGCTTTGCATACAGAAACATACGAAAGAATCATGAGAACGAATAAATGGTAAATGATCTGCTGGAGTACTACGGGTGCCTTTTTCGAGAACAGACTTCAATAGTTTCAGTTATTATACGCTTTTTGTTCCTGAATGGACACGTCGGCGTGGTGTACTCATGCTTGGCTTACAATAAACTGGGCTACTGTGAAAGTCCAGTTCTCTATGTGTTATCAGCGCATGATTCTATTGACCATACTGAGCTTACTGTATTGGAAAGGATCGCGAACAGTGTCTGTTTTCCCGCCGAGCACCTTGTGCACGCTTCCGTCTATGGTAAGCGACATTTCAGTCAGTTTCATTCCCGAAATTTACAAGTTCTGCCGCAGTTCTAATTTCCCTACGAGGCAAAAACACTTGTAATTCCAGTGACCGGGCTTTCGCTAACACAGGCTGGGTCTGCTTACTTGCTGGAAATTAAACAGTCTCAAGACGTTTTCAGTTCTTTGCATTCCAAGCACACCAGCACAGTTATGAAATTAGGGATTGGCACCGAATAACAGCAGCAGTAGTTTAGCGCACTAGTTTTATAGCCGTTTTGACGTTCATTAACAATCCAATAAATGTACTTTCAACTTAGATATTACCAATATTTTGTGAAGAATTTCCTTACCCCAGTTATTTATAAATAGGGTAAAATTTTTTGTTCAAACCTCAGCCAAGCTTGAGCCACAGCTTTTACAGGAAAATGAAATGCAAGGATTTTGACTTTTGTGGTAAATGTTTTTTCTAGTTGACGGTCATGACTGGTGCACAATATCAAAGGTTCGTCTCGGCCAGTAGGATAACCAGTTCTTCTGCAACTTGTTCATTTACTAGTAAATTAAACTCATCATTACTTTGATTCTAAGCAATCTTCGACAGACGGAGCTGTCGGCAATCTTGCCAACGAGTGACTGCTGTTGGTTCTCATTGCTCTAGGGCAGTAATGTATGGATGAATACAAATTCAGGCCGAACAGCATTTGAGTGCTGGTTGACACAAGGCAAATTCTGATTGCAGATGAGTGCATCATCGATAACTACAACGTCAAAATTGGCAGCTCATCATGTGCCACGATCAGCATTCCGGCACCGTCATCCAGCAATGAAACAAAAATAATGGAAGAGTTGAGGCGTCGTTTTCGTAAGAACACTTATTTTGCAATTGCATCGAGTATCGCAAACCAGACCGGGTATTTACTGCGATTTGATAATGGCAGAGCATGGAAAATCTACGACGCGTAAGTACTACTTCAAGTACGCTACTCTGGTAAACGCATCTGCAAAGTACCTTGCGTAAAATTCAATCAAAAACCGATGTTTACTGTTTAGAAAGGTCTCAGCTGTAGTCTTATTCCTTAAAATATTTTCGACGGCTGATTGTCTTACTGCCGCAAACTCTTGCAAGCTGAGGTGTTAAATCTGCAAAACTTTGCAATTCATTTATGAACCTGTCATTTGTCTGTTTGTAATGGATGTGAAAGGGCATAACTGTGGTTATGATTCATTCACATTAGTTGGCATTTTGACTATCCAGCGCATAGCTA